GTACTCTTATTAATGGCTTGATTTCCCAAAGTCAAAATCCCCTCACTAGGTCTATTACTACCAAAAGTACACTCCATATATTCAATTTTAGATCTACTCAAGCAAAATTTGTTAGACTCTAAGGTAAACCTCCATAATTCAAGTTTTCCTTCAACTCCCTCTCTAGTCTTATCAACAAGAAGAATATTATCAGCAAAAAGCAAACATCAAGGTACATCCTCTTGCAAATGTCTAGTAAGAACATTAATGACTAAAGCAAAACGATACGGGCTTAAAGTTGATCCTTATTGTAATCCAACCGAAATAGGAAAATACTTGGTCAATCCACATTGTGTTTGAACACAAGCAATAGCTCATATATTCTTATCTTTAATGATTTTAATATAAGTGTTATTAACTCTTTTCTTCTCAAGGATTCTCTATAGCATTGCTTTTGGAACTTTATCATATGCTTTCTTATAAATTGATAAATATCATATGTAGATCTTCCTTATTCTCTCTATATTTCTCCATCAAACCTCTCAATAAATGAATCGCTTCTATAGTAGAGCTACCCGACATGAATCCAAATTAATTTTCATAAACATTTGTATCACACTGCAACTTTTGCTCCATAACTCGTTCCCGTAGTTTTAAAGTATTACACAATAACATAAATCCTCTATAATTCGCATAATCTTGGGCATCCCCTTTATTCTTAAAAATAGGAATGAACATACTCATTCTCCACTCATTTGGCATATTTTTAGTCTTCAAAATAGTCTTAGAAAATTTAGTAAGACAAGAGATTCCTTAATCTCCTAAGCGTTTCCACACCTTTATTGGAATATCATCAGGTTCCATAGCCTTTCCACACTTTATTTTCTTTAAAGCTTGTCTAACTTTAGTTTTACTAATATAGTGATAAAAATAGAAATCTTTATTTTTATCTAGGGTGCTAAGGTCACTAAAATTGATCATATTTTCACATTCTTCATTAAAAAGTTTAGAAAAATATCTCCTCGTGCTCCATCTATCAGAGGTGGGCGGGATCCACGGCCCCCTCTATCTTCGTCTTTCCTCTCCGTGATTCTTTTTATAGGATATCGTTCTCCATTCCTATTTCTTTGACGGAGGTTACTAATGTTGAATTCCATCTGTTCATAGGCGGTCTCTCCTGGTCCACTAATGAAAAATCACTCCAGAGTGCCTTCAGCCATTTCGGTGACGTTCTCGAGTCAAAGGTTATCAATGATCGGGAGACGGGAATGTCAAGGGGCTTCAAATTTGTGACTTATGGCAACGAGAAGGCCATGAGGGATGCCATTGAGGGGATGAATAGATAGAATCTTGACGGTCAGAACATTACGGTGAACCAGGCTCAGTCTCAATCTGGCGGTGGAGGCAGAGGTGGCGGCAGAGGTTATCGCGGCGGAGGTGGTGGAGGATATGGAGGTGTTGGTGGAGGATATGGAGGTGATGGTGTTGGATATGGAGGTGGTCGAAGAGATGGTGGTTACGGCGGAGGGAGGAGCGATGGAGGGTATATCTGTGGTGGTGGAGGAGGGCGAGATTGTGGGTATGATGGTGGATCTCGCTACTCCGGCGGTGGGGGTGGATCTGATGGGAACTGGAGAAACTGAAGAACAACTGATCCGATATGGGCGGCTTATGGAACTAGGTCTTTATAGTAGAGACGGTTCTGGTTCTCTAGGGTCTTTTATTTGGTCTATGCTTGCTAGTTTTTGATCTTTGTTGTTGCTTGTTTTTTGGATTTAGATGTGCTACGTGGTTGATGAAATCGAAAAGAAGAAATAGTAAAAAAAAAGTTTAGAAAAATATCTCATGTACCTTTGTTGAATATCATTTTCTAAGAAAAGTACTTTTTGATCTTCATCCTTAATACACTTTAGTTGAGCTAAATCCTTAATACTCATATTTCTTTGTTTGGCTAACTTATTAATTATGAAAAAAAGATAAGAGCTACGACAAAAAATTAAATAAAAGCCACTGAGTTTAATATCCCTTGCTAGTTACATATAGAAAAGGAAATGGATGGATAAAAGCCAAATCCCAAAAAGGCCCTTTGAAGAACTACATCAAAGATTGTAGAACAAGTATTGATCAGGAATGCAATTGAGCTTATAAAAGAATTAAACAAGGAAGAAAAAATAATAAAACAAAGTCAAAGGATATGCAAGAGAACATCAACAACTACAAAAGCCCATAATTATAGAAGAAAAATAATTGGATCGTCAAACATGAACATCAGCAAATAGACAAATTGCAATACAGCTAACCAAAAACAAAGGCATGATCATCGATTCAAATCTGCATTAAAAGACAAGTCTCTAAAAAAAATTAAATCAGCAAAGCATAAAGAGAGAAACAAAAAACAAAAAAATGAATCACAAAAAAACTAGCAGAACCACCCAACCAATAGCCAACCCCACATAAATGGGTTACAGAATCAGCCAAATGCAATAATAAGCCACTATAAATTAATGCAAGAACAAAAAGCAAAACCACCAACTAACTAACCCTAAAAAAGGCAATTAGCAACATAAAACCCTGAGTTAAGACCATCAACACCTCCAAAGGACCCAGAAAAAAAATTATCTCAATCTCTCGCATGCCTCGCTCTCTCTGAGCTATGGCTTCGATAAAGCCATTTTCTCTTGGTTTTTTTTTGTATGTTTTCCTATGGGTTTTCTCTGGGTTTCTTCCATTTTGAGTTTGTGTGGTTCTTTCTTTGTTGTCTCTCAAATTTATGTTGGGTTTCTCCATGCCATCTATCTTTAAATGCTATGATCCTAGATTCCTTGCTTGTAAGAACCGATATAAATCCTTTAAAGAAGTATTATCTAGTGAGAGAAAGTCTGAGATTCTAGTGAGAGAAAGTCTGAGATTCCGGTGATCTGTTTTTCAAATTTTTGCTTTCCCGGCAAATTCGCGGCGGCTTTGTTTGGCTAGCTTGTCGCCGTCTCGCCGGAGGGGCGAGAGGATGACAATGGAGGGAAGAAGATCAGCGCCTTCTGAGGCTTGGGCGATTATCAGAAGGGGTTTTAATGCTCCGGTTAGATCTTCTTTAGAAGTTTTCAAAGGAAGCCAGATTTTGGCTTCTGGTTTCAATAGCTTTCCAAAGCAAAAACCTTTGATCATAAGGGAAGGAGCTTTATTAAAAAAAGTTGTTAATCCAGTTCCCGTGGGAAAAGGTAAAGAAGCGGTGATTGTTGATGATTTTTTGAGTCCAAGAAAATCTGTTCCATCCACTTGTTGCAAAGTTAGTTCTATTATTACTAATGAGGATGTCTCCTCATCTTCGAGGAAGACAGGGATTAAATCTATTTCCCTGCCGTCATCCCCAAATGTTATCATTTCTGGAAAGAAGACGGAACAAGAAGTTATTAAGTCGAATGAAGACAAGGTGTTAGATGTCTTTCCCCCTCTGATCTCGATCAATATGGAAAACAAGAAGAAGTTTGTAGATGCTCTCAACGTTCCTTTGGAAGGGCACATTGAAACTGCTGCGGCATGGAAGAAGAAACAAAACATCAGAGTGGATAATTTGGATATTGGTTCGTTTCTTTCGAATGATGGTAATTCGGTCAAGTTACACTCTGAGAATGAAATTAACAATACAAAGAGATTGAGAAATGCTTTGGTAGTCAAAGTTTTTGGGGAAAAGATTTTTTCTCATCTGTCTGTAATGATTTGAGAAGACAATGGAGTAAATTTGGCAATTTCCACATCACTGGTTTAGGCACTGGATGGGTTCTATGTTCTTTTGAAAATCCTGTGGCCATGGAAGAAGTTTTATTAGAAGGACCATGGTTCGTTAAAGGCCATGTGGTTGGATTGGATAAATGGTCCATGTCGTTCTCCCCATCATCTTTGAGTGGTATTTCGGCACCAATTTGGGTAAGATTGCCTAATCTTCCTCTGCACAGTTGGGATGATATTAATATTTGCAGGATTGCTTCAGCTATTGGTAAACCTTATTTACTGGATGGAAATTCCTTTCAATGGGGAAGACGTGAATATGCTCGTATTTGTGCTCGTACTCCTTTATATGAAAAACTTCCCGTGGGAGTTTGGGTAGAAGGCTTATCGGGAACATTCTATCAAAATTTTGAATATGAAGGCATTGAAAAACTGTGTTATGCTTGTGGAAAAATGGGACACATTGTTTCATGTTGTCCAGAATCTGGAAGCAATCAGGCAAAGAACAAAGAAAATGAAGTTTCAGAAGTCTTCAAGGAAGATTTGGCAGCTGAAAATGTTTCCAAAACAGCTGATGAGTATGGACCTTGGCTACAAGTTAATTTTAAAAGAAAAGTAAGAAGGGTGGAGGCTGTCCAGAAGATGAAATCGAACTATAAAAAAGTTTTTGTTCCTAAACAAATCAGCAAGGAGGTTAATATGGATTCTGTGATCAAGGAGGGTGTTACTATCACTTGTTTGGATAGTGAGTTGAGCAGTGAAAAGCAGCTAGATCAACCTGTTTTGATCCCGAGCAATGAGGATTTGGCTGTCAACCAATCTGTAGTACCTCAGGTGATTTCTCCTAAATCACCCTCCACCAATCCTAACAGATTTGCTGTGTTATCTAAATTGGATGGTACAAATATGATTGAATCTGCTGATGCTTCAGAAGCTATTTGTGAGGAAGAAGGACAAATTGTGGAAAAATATGATTTTTTGTCTGTCCAGGAGCCTATAAAAAGTAAGGTGAATATTAAGGAAGTGAAAGATAATGATTTATCTTCAGGTAAAAAAATTAAACTTTTGAAAGAGTTAAAATCTTTGGGTGCTGGAAATATTATTAGCCATAACAGAAAGATGGAAGCCGAAAAAACAAAGAATGGTGGGGGTCCTTCCCCCTTGGTTTCTTAATGACTTCCCTAGCTTTTTGGAATTGTAGAGGAGCCAAAAAACGTGAGGCTGCTCTTTATCTTAAATAATTTGTTAAAGACAACAATGTTTTTTTTGTGGGTTTAGTGAAAACTAAGATTAGTTCCATGGAGAATGTACAAATTTTGCAGTATCTTGGTGACAGTTGGGACTCTTTTTTGGCTCCTTCAGAAGGTCTTTTGGGAGGGATATTGATCCTTTGGAGAAAAGATGTAGCTATCTTTAATATGAAGGAAGTGTCATCTCAAGTGGTAGTTGGAAATCTGGAGGTTTTAAACAGGGAATGCTGGTTGGTTTCTACAGTTTATGGAAGCAGAAGTTCGGTGGACAGAAAATTGTTATGGGAGAAGTTGGAAAATTTAAACACTGGTAATTTACCTGCTGTTATTGGGGGAGATTTCAATTGCATTTTATCTCAGGAGGAGAAGAGAGGAGGTAAGAAATTTACTTTCTCACAAGGAGCTAGAGATATGAAAGATTTTATGAATAATAATGACTTTCATGAAATTGGGTTTGTTGGACCCAAATTTACATGGTGTAACATTAAATCTGGAAGTAGCCGTATTCTTGCAAGACTTGATAGATGCCTTTTGAATTCTTATGCTATGAACTCCATCCAATTGGCCTTGGAGAAGCACTTGTCTCGAGTTGCTTCCGACCATTGTCCTATCATTCTAGAAATTTTCAAGCCTATTACTGTTGCTCGTAAAGACTTGCGTTTTGAAGATGTTTGGGCTTCTTATCATGGTGCTACTGCTTTAGTGGAGAAATATTGGAACAAGGTGGGAAGAAATGATTCAAATGCTAATTTAGACTTGAAATTCAAAAGGACGTTGAAGGCTCTTTTCTTTTGGAGAAAATCTAAGTTCAAAAGTTTGAATAATCTGAGAGACAATTTAAAATCAGATCTTTAATCTTCAGATAGAAGAAGCTGAGGGATTGCTTGAAGATTCTAAGCTGGCTATCCTTAGATCCAAAATCAATGAGCTGAATTGCACTTTGGCGAGGCTTAATATTTGGTGGAGGCAAAGGGCTAAAGTTAGATGGTTTGAGGATGGAGATGCTAACACATCTTTCTTTCATACGTTTGCTAATTCTAGAAGATGTTCAAATTGGATGAAACATGTCAAAACAGATGATGGTGTTTTGCTGGAAAAACCGGATGACATTGAAGCCGTTTTCACTGAGTTCTTTAAGAGCAAATGGAAACACAGGAATTGTCAAATTGATGGCTGGCCAAAACCCTTCAATTTGTTAGAACCTGAAGACCAGAGATTATTGGAAGCTGATTTCAGTAAAGATGAACTTAAGAAGGTGGTTGATAATTTAAAATCTAATGTTGCTCCTGGAAATGATGGGATTACTTTCTCCTTTATCAAATTTTATTGGAAGATTATTCATCATGATGTTTGGAAGGCTATTGATAATTTCTTCAAATCTAGACAAATGAATTAATATTGGAAGGAAACTATCATTGTCTTACTTCCAAAACTACAGAATCCGGTGCATCCAACCAACTTTCGGCCTATAAGTCTATGTATGACTATTAATAAGTTGGTTGCAAAAATGCTGCTTAACAGATTGGAATTGGTTATTCACAAGGTTATTTCTAAAGACCAAGTGGCTTTTCTCAAGGGAAGATCTATGTCGGATCATGTTCTTTTAGCCCAAGAGGTGATCAACAAAATTCGTCATTCAAAAGCAGAGAAAGGATTTTTGGCGATCAAGGTAGATATGGAGCAAGCTTATGATAGCATGGGGTGGCAAGCTTTGAGGCAAGTTCTCATACATTTTAATTTTCCTAGTAACTTTTCTGAGTGGATTTTGAATTATATTTCAAATCCGAAATTTTCTATTCTTATCAATGGGGTTAAATCCAATTGGATTAAGGCTGAAAGTGGATTTCGCCAAGGATGCCCCCTATCTCCCTTCCTATTCATTTTATGTTCTGAAATTGTCTCTAATGCTTTTTACCAAAGTGGAAAGAAAATTGGTATTCAAGTTGTATCCAAAGCTCCTAGAGTTTCTCACTTGTTATATATTTGAAGCCAACACTCTCAAGATAAAAAAGGTGAAGAATATTTTAATCAAATATGACAAATGGATGGGTCAGAAGGTAAACCACAACAAATCCATGGTTTTCTTTGGTAATACAGTAAAAGGAAAAAAGAAGGCTGAAATTTAAGACATTTTAAAGTTCAAATCGGTTAATGAGTTGAACTATCTTGGTGTCAAGCTTACTCTAAGAAGATTGGTGAAATCTGACTTTAATCATTTAATGGATGCTGCTTCAAATAGATTGAACATTTGGGGTAAGAAGTTTATCTCCTTGGAAGGCAAGATGGTGTTGGTAAAATCTGCATTCATATCTATTCCTATTTTTCTGTCAACATTCTCTTTGGTGCCTTTGGGTATCTTAAAAGACTTTGATAGAATGTGTCGATCATTTCTGTGGAGTAAAAAGAATGGAATTAGAGGGCTTCATTATGTTTCCTGGAAGAAACTTTGCCTTCCTAAACAAAAATGTGGTAGAGGTCTTTTTTCGGCTGCCAATAAAGTTGGGAACTTAAGAGCCAAATTTGTTCTGGAATTCTATACCAAGCGAGATTCTTTACTCAATTGCATTCTCAGAGCTAAATACGGTGAGAACTTATGGGAGAAACATAAGAAGAATGATTGTTCTTCAACGTGGAAGATCTTGTGCAATGGGGCAATTTTCCTTACCAACATTGTAAGATGGAGAATATGTAATGGAAATTCTATTGACTGGATGAATGAGACTTGGCTACAAGATAAAAGTTTATCTAATTGGCCTACATTTGTCAATAACAATGAAGTGGTAAGTAATTGCCTTAATTTCTTTATCTCCAAAATAATTGGATTGAGGAGTATCTCAGGTTGTATTTCAGTGAAGATCTTGTAGAAATTTGTCATATGCTATTATTTAGTTTATTATTTCGTATATGCTTTGACTGCGCTTTGACCTGCGCTTTTGTTGCGCTTAATTTAAAATAATATTTTATTAATATCTGGACCTATCTTCGCCTCCGTGGACCGGATGCAATAATTTGCCATCAAACTTAGGGCTTTTGAAGGAATAAAAAAATACCAGATATTTAACATCATTATTAAAGTACTCTAATGAAATAAAATTAAAAAGAGAAAAGGATGAAAAGGAAAAAGTGAAGACTAAAAAGAAAAATAAGTACTGGAATATAAAAAATTGGTACCTGGAAAAGCATACTTCTTCGAAAGTATATAATACCTAAATTAAATAAGGGAAGTATAAGTAATATAATATATATTGATGTTTATAGATGAATTAAAAAATTAACTGAAGTATAAAAATTTTTAAAATAAAAAATCACTCAATTACGCTAATAACTATAGTAGATAAAGCTTAGAATGGGATATTAATGAAAGTGATTGATTAGGATGTCTATTAATAATTATTTTAATTAAAATTTCCAACCTTTGTTTCATTTCAATTAACATCAACTTAGTAAAGCAAATTCTTATAATTTAATCAATTTTAAACAAGCAAATTATTCAATAGGGAGAATGAATTAATCAAAAGTTCAATTGCATTACTTCAGGAAAATTAATAGCTTAAGCTGAGAGAAATTTATTAAGTGAATATTATGTTATTATTTTATGCCTTAAATTTCAGTGAAAATATGTTTTTAGTTCATGTTGTGCAAGAAAACTCACGAAAAATGCTTTAGAAATGCAAGTTGGCATAAGCACCGAGGCACCAATTGATTCAACACCACAGCGACTTCAAAGCCCTAGTGCTATATAGGGGGTGCAAATTAGTCAAGCCTACTCGGGAGCTGACTTGGGCTCGACTCGGTAACATGCTCAATGAGTCAAGCTCGAACACGATTTCGAGCTCGACGACTTATCGAGCTAGAGCGGCTCGAATCGTCAGCTCGTCGAGCAGCTCGACGGCGGAACTCATAGGAGGGAAATGCAAATCCATGAAGCGGGAAATCAAAGTCGCGAGCAGGAAATAAAAAAAATAATGAATCTCAATGACGTGACTACGACGACGGGATGAGCTCGACGACGATCTCGATAGCGGGAAATTTTGAGCTCGACGACGATATCGATGGCAGACGATGGGACGAGCTTGATGACAATCTCAAAAGCAGGAAATTTCGAGCTAGATGATGATCTCGACGGCAGACGATGGGACGAGCTCTAGGGGCGGATCCAGCTTATTTTTTTAGGGTGGGCAAAAAAAAAATTGTAAGAGATGGGCAAAAATGCTTAGGATTGATAAAAGTAGGGCAAAAAAATTTTTTGAGGGGGGGCAAAATGCCCAAAATATTCAAAATATTTCAAAATCTCCCCAGAAAAAAAATTTTTGAGGGTGGGCATTTGCCCACCCTAAGCTATGGGTGGATCCGCCCATGGATAAAGGTAAGACATGATATAAGATTGCAGTGCCATCATAATACCCAAAAGCAGTAGAAGCAAAATTTGCTCCTATCAGAAGGTTTCTTTTCTGAAGCCTGAGGACTCAGATAAGCTACTAGAAATGTTGCAAATCCCAGTGTTTTAGTAGTTTTGTTAGTTGTTAATTTTCCATTGTGGAATCTTCCTATGGCTTCATGGTTCTTGAAATCTCTTCCACAAGGAGGGAAATCAGCTTTAAAAATTGTGTGCAAGTAATAATTGTTGCTTATATCAACAGTTGAATTTCCAAAGGTAATGATTGCAAGAACTAAAGTGTTAATAACTATGATTTTGCATTCAACAAGATCGAGCTCATAATTAGAATAAGAGTTGCTGCTACAACCCAAGCTTTGCTTTGCAATAGGTCTGCCCTCCATATTTTGTCACTTGGTGAGGTTATCTGAAAGGTTTACGTTATATATATATATATATATATATATATATATATATATATTAGTCTTTAATTTATGGGTTTGCTCTCCAACATGTTGTCTCTCCTATTCTTGTTGAGATGGTTGCCAAGGATAGTCATAAGAATTTAGAAGAAGCTATTATGGGTGTTTGTGATGTTAGGAGGGTTGATATATTTGATTCATCTTATGGTTTGGTGTCTCTTTCTGGTGATTCATCTTTGGCTGATCTTGTTGTGAAGCCTATTAACGTTGATGTTGCTAACTTACCTTTTTTAAATGCCCCTATTTCTCTTATTTCAAATGATGCATTATTAGCTCAATTGGAGTTAAATGCAAAAGATACTGGTGTTGATCAATATTATTGGTTAGATGGGTTTATTTCCTCTTCTTGTGGTAGTGATGGGGATGAATTAGATGAACCCATTGATGAGATGTATGGTTTGAATGTTGGTTGTATTATTCATAAAGCTTTTTCTTATAGTGGAGGAAAGAGGCAAGGGAGAATATCTTTGAAGAAGTAATTTGGTTTTTTGATTCTTCCTTTAGTTTTGTTGCTCCTCCTCTAACTTTGTTTGGTGGTTGGGATGTGTTTGGTTTTTTTTTTCAATTTGTTGTTGTTGGTCTTATCTGTGCTGGAGTTGCTATGTGTATTTTGAATTGTGTTTGTTGCTATACTTTGGAGTCGGTGTTGTCCTTCCTTCTTGTTTTATTTGGGTGCAGTGCATTTTCTTGTGTTTGTATATGTGTTAATGTGGTTTTAGGGTTATTAGTTGATGGTGCTATTTCTTTTGGTTGGTTGTCGGGCTATTGTTTTATTGTATGTTAGGTTGTTTCTCTTCTTTTTATTTTGCAGGTTCCTTTAGTTGTTTTCTTGCAAGTTTTATATTTGTTGGATCCATTGGATTCTTGTACAGTCTATGGAAGTTTCGTCTACCTTTTTGTGCATTTTTTTTCTTTTTTCATGTGCATCTTTTTGTTGTTTTTTTCTCTTTACTTATCATTATAATTTGTAAAACCATCAGCTCATAGGTTTTATTTCAAATGAAATACTTTTAGAGAGCTGAAGGTTCTATAAGAACTTGTGATTTCCTTTTTTTTTTATTAATGTTTACGCGCCTCTGTGAGTTTTATCCAAAAAGAGGGCCCAAATAGCACCCAGACGAAAGAGCCTAGGTGACTAGAACCAAACCAACCGAAAACACTGAAGCCAAGCAATAATGATAACAAGTCTGAACTCTAAGAGAACTCAATAAGAACATATATAAAAATTAGAAGTAAGATTAGAGAATACTTTAGATCTAGTATGTCAACCTTCACAATACTTGAAAGACTACACCAAATTTTTATTTATTTTTTCTTATTTTTCTTGCCAATAACATTTTAAAAAGTTTTTTTACCAACTTGTACTAAATTCAAATCAGAATCCTCCTGAAAGCCATTACCAAGAGAAACATTACCCTCTCCAAAACCCCATTTGCCTAATAAATCACAGGGAGTTAACTAATCAGAATGATAAAAAAGATCTTTAGAATGCAAAACAAATTATTGTTTCCCCATACCCAAGTTTGACAATGCTTCATC